TTCACCTGAGCCAGGCAAGCGCTCTACCACTGAGTTACAACCCCAGCCCAGTCCTTCAGAGTTTTAAAACTATTCTCCATAATACTAATTTCTTCAGACACCTCACCCACCCCATAGGTATGGAGTACAGAGACCTGGATCAGAAGTAGAGAATTCCAGGTCTGAACTCTGCCTTGGACACTGCTCAGTTGTGTGATCTTGGGAAATGATGTGAGGTCACTTCTGTGGGACTCATTTGTAAAATGGAGATTGTGAAAATACTTTCCACCACATAGTCAAGGAGACACCTAATGTGTAATATGTACAAGGCACAACACACAGCAGAAAGTACTTAATGAACAAGAATTAATTTATTCGTTCGAATTAATTCATTTGTTCAATAGTCGGTCTCTCTCCCTTCATCCACCCTATTCTCACCCCCTGCATCGTACAGGGGATGAACCCAAGGCCCGGTGCACACTAGGCAAAGGCTTTATCACTGATTCCCCAACACCAGCTCAATAGTTGTTTTCTTTGTATTGGACACCAAACCCAGGAGCACTCTACCACTGAGCCACATCCCCTGTCCTTTTTTCCACTTTGAGACAGGGTCTCTCCGAGTTGCCCAGCTGGCTTCGAAATTGCCTTCCTCCTGCTTCAGCCTCCAAGTCGCTAGGATTACAGGCTTGGTCCATCGCGCCCAGCTCAGTAGTTTTATTCGTGCTACCTGGAGAATGTTAGTGCACCTATTTGTCGGTTCTTTTTCTTACAGGGAGGTTAGTCTGTCCCTTTTCTCTTCCCTAACTGCCTGGGAGCACTCCAAAGAGCAGGGAAAGGACCTTCCTCATTCCTTCCATCGGCGCCTTCAGCTTCCCCCAAAGCGCACCCCACAGGAAAACTTGCTAGAACTCAAGTAACGCCAAGACCCGCCCCTTAGCGATCCACCCAATGAAACTTTGGTGTCCCACAGGCTCCGCCCCTCCTTAGGTCTATATTCAGCACCCAGGAACGCCCCAACTGGACCCAGGTGTTTCTGGGAAATGTGGACCAATAGCCGCCACGCACAAACAGATCAAGAATTCGCACTACAATCCCCAGAGGGCCCCGCTCGCCAAAGGGACAAAACCACGCCCCTACTGCCCTTAGGGCATGCGCACAGGGGTCCCGGTTGTTGGGGGAAGGGAACCCGGACGTCCAGCTGCCGGGCGCCAGGCGAGCCCCGCCCTCTCTTGCCTCCGGGGCGGCGAGTCTGAGCTCCACGCCCGGAACACCCCTCCCCCACCCAGCTCAACTCTAAAAGTGCTTCTCCCCGGTCCCTAAAACCCCAAAAGGTAAGGGATTCTTCTCCAGACTTCTCTCCGGTCCAGAGACCCAGGCGTTCAAAGACGACAGATGCTCTTATATCCACGTCGTTGGGGAGACTGGGATATCAATTTTGAGACCTCCCTAACCTCTCTTAATTTTCCCCTTTGAAAGGGCCCTAGATCTCAGCTCAAACTCTCCGTCCGTCTTCAAGACCCGAACATTGAACTCTCTCCGTGAGCACTTCTTCTCCGCCACAGCGTCTTGGACTCTTTAAGATCCCTTGACTCTAGTTCTCTGGTTTCACCAAATGTTCATGATACCAGCCTTCAATTTCTCACACCTTAACCAGAATACTACGGAGCCCCGAACTCAGCCCATCGGGGAAATCTAAACTGTCTTCGAATCTTTAAGACACCCTGCCCCAAAAGTTCCTTCCCCGGGTTCTCTGGCTTCTCCAATTACTCCATGTCGCAGCTTCAAATTTCCCCCATTTGAAAATCCTGCCTCACCTCCTGCCCTGGATCGCGAACTCAATTCTCTGGTCCTCAAACTCTTCACACCTTATCAGTCATCTTTAATCTGCGCCCTCCACTCCCGCCTAGACCCCACCTCCACTAATCTCTGGAGCACGCCTCTACATCCCCCAACCCAAGGTAAATCCCAAATCAAGTGGCCACTCCTCACCTCGGATGCCAGGTTCGCAACGACCACCTCCTGGAAAGCCTACCGCGTACCGACCCACCAGTGCCGAGTAGAGACCTAGCTCACCTCCCGGGGGCCTCTCCTCCTGGCCTCAAACTACCCAGCTCCGCCCCGGAGCCTAGCTGCGAGCCAAGATTGGCTGGAATCCTGCCCACTGCGGGGCTCCGATTGGCTGGGCGGAGCCACCGTCGGACGCCCGGAGACCCGACCCGCCCAACCCGCCCTACTCCCCTCTCCTCCCAACCCGCCCTAATCCCCTCTCCTCCCCTCTCTTGCGCCCGCGACCATTTAAAGGATTCCGAGCGGTCAGGGGCAGAACTACATCGCTAGGGTCCAGGACGGAGGGTGGTGGAGAGCAGTCAAAGCCGCCCCCTTCAATTTAGCTACGGTCTTTGCACCAAGATCGTCAGTATTGCTGTCTACGGTCCCTTTATACCAGGCCGGGACCCCATTGCCGAGTTAGACCGGTAGGCACCCGTCCCCCTCCCTGCTTTTCAGGCGGGCGGGGCTGAGCAACTGGCAGAGGCCCCGCCCTGGGTGTTCCTAAGGCTGGCACTGTAGCGAAGCTGGGGGCGCGGATGATGTAGCTAAACGCTAGCCAATAGTTCTGCGCGGCCTGTGTTGCCTGGGCGACCACGGCCCCGCCCCTTCGCTGCCAGGGTCCTCCCTCCCTGCCTGACACTGTAAGAAGTTGCAGCCCTTTCTTAATCCCGCACACTTCTCAGCACGGCCTCTGGTGGTCCCCCGTGGAATCCCTCTGGCACTCCATTCTTCGTCTCAGGATAGCCCCTCTGCTGCTGGAAGCTTTTCATGGCTTCCCACAGCCTTGAAAATTCCAGATTCCTTAAGCTTTTGCCTCAAAGCCCTTCACGATCTGTCCTGTGATCCTCTCCCCCACGCTAGAGACATCACTTTCAGTTTTTCTAAAACTTTCAGTTTTTCTGAAATGGCTCCAGTCTTTCCTCAGCACGAATTAAGGGATTTTGTCCGCTTTCTTCGCTGCTTTATCTTCAGTACCTGCAACATGACAGTTCCGTAGCACGCACTCAAAAATGAGAATGGGGGACTGGGATTGTGGCTTAGTGGTAGAGTGCTTGCCGCGCATGCGTGAGGCACTGGGTTCCATCCCCGGCACCACATAAAAATAAAAACAAATAAAGGCATTGTATCCACCTACAACTTAAAATTAGAAAAGAGAAAGAGAGGGCTGGGGTTGTGGCTCAGCGGTAGAGCTCTCACATAGCATGCGTGAGGCCCTGGGTTTGATCCTCAGCGCCACATAAAAATAAATAAATAAAATAAGGGTACTGTGTCCAACTACAACTAAAAATTTTTTTAAAAAATTAAAAAAAAAAAAGAGAGAAAGAGGGCTCTTTAAATTTATTTCCTCGTCCTGAAGTAGACTACCTCTCTAAGAATCCTTCTCCAAATCAGGCGGTGGCTTATGCCTGTAATCTCAGCAACTCATCAGCAACTTGCAGCCATCTTGGCAATTTAGTGAGACCCTGTCTGAAAGTAAAAAATAATCGGGGCTGGGAATGTAGCACGGTGGTGGAGCCCCCGGGGGGGTTCTATCCCCAGTACTGCAAAACACACAAAAATTCCAAGATTTCCTCCTCCCAGAAGTCCTCATCCATAGGCTAGATCCGGCCAATTTTGGGTGCCTATGGTTTCCTGTGACACCCCCCACCACCACCTTTTTGCCATCCCAGTCCTGGGCCATCACTGTTTGAGCTGTGGGTTATCTCTGTCACCTACTGTTTGTTCTGTCGCAGCAGCCCCCCCCCCAAAGTGAGGCCTGGTGTGTGTGTGGGGGAGGGGCGTGCCAGACTGTCTTGCTCCACGATTGGGTCCAGGCCCTGTATGCTGGTATCAAGAGGCAGCAAAGAGCAGCGGTGATGATCTTGTTGGGAGGCCACAGAGCTCATACACAGTGAAAGTTCATTAAATTCTTGGGCAATGTGACAGAGAAATGGGAGGGCAGAAATGGAATCCTGCTGGCTTCCTGAAGTCTGCACCAGCAACCCCCCAGCCCCTCCAGAAGTGTTCACTAAGGGGAAGGGGAGGTGTTTTCTTTAGCCATCCATAGAATGGAGGAGGTTTAAGACTCCTCAGGTCAGTTCTCCAGGGTTGGAATTTGTCAATCAAGTCATCCTGGTGCTTGCAGTGCAGACCTGGAAGGGATTTCTAGGGCTACAGAGGTGGGGAAATAGGTAGTGAGCGGGGTGGACTAATCCCTGTGGATTAGTCTTCCCTCCCTTCCCCCACAGACTGTCCATCTAGGCTCCTGAGAGGTTCTCCCACCTTCTCTGTCCTCCCCAAGGCCCCTGCTTGGGTTCAGCTCTCCCAGCCTCCAAGGCTGTCCCCCTCCTACAGATCCACCTCCAAACAGTAGCCAAAGAAACCCTTAAAAAACACACACCTCACTGTCCCCACCCCTGTCCTGCATAAAACCTCAGATTAAAGCTCAAACTTTTTACAATGACTTTGCACAATTTAGCCCCCATGATCCAGCTTCTTGTATCTGACCTTCTCACCTCAGAGCAGCAGTATCATTAACTGTCGGGGACAAATTTTAACTCTTCAAAGAAGCTATGTGCTTTCTGGCCTCCTGGCCTTTGCTCCTATTATTTCTTCTGCCCTAGAATCTTCTCTTGGATTAGTCTTATCAAACCAGGTCTCAGGTTGAATGTATATCCCTTTTCCACAAAACCTTTCTTGCTCTATAAGCTGGGTCAGGTACCCCCTTAGGGATGCCACTGTTCCATGTACTTTATGCATCAGAGCTCTGACCATTCTGGGTTGTCACTGTCAGTGGCAGGGCTGTCTTTCTCACTACATTATGAGATACATGGCAGTAGAGAGAGCAGGGGTCCTAGCTACCTCCTCTGTGCACAGGGGCTGGGCACAGAGAAGGGACTTGATAAACTCTTACTGAACAAATGAATGAATGAGTACCTAGAACATTGTACACAGAGACACTGAAATTCTCACAGGCAGAGAGAGTCCCATTGTCAGGTTGTCTGAATAATTTCAAGCTCTTGGCTCAAATTTTATTGTTCCTTTCTTTGTGTCTCATATCCCAGAATGCCGTCCTCCTGGATGGGGACAGGGTCCTACTCGTACTGGTGGGAGGGATAGGCGCTGTGCCCATCATACTCATCAGTAGTGAGGCAGCGCAGCATGAAGTGGCCCAGGTCATGTTTGGAGATGACCCTTGAGGGTCCTCGTCCATCCAGAGTCACTGTGTAGGCCCCAGTTAGCGGCTGGTCCCCTGTGAGGTAAAGACAGAAAGGATGGCTGAAGCCAATGTCCTTTCCCACCCCCAGCGCATGATGACTGCAAAAGCTTTGCCAGTGCCACCTGTGCCCTGCCCAGGTAGCACAACAGCCCAGAGGGACTTCCCATGTGCAGGCGCTTATCTGTACCGTTTGCTTCATCTGTTCAACAACTCCTTGTTTCTTTCCTATTATGCACCAGTGCAGTGCACCCAGTAGGGGACAAAACTGATGAGAATCTCTGTCCCCAGCAGACAGACATGCATTAGAAAAAGGCAACTAAAGCAAACAACTAAAGAGACAATGTTAGGAGGAAAGAGAAAAATCAGAGGTCAGGCTGGGACCTAGGGTTACAAATGGGCCAGCTGAGCCTTAGAGGAAGTCACCTCTCAGGCGTGCAAAGTGTCACTCTCCAGTGGTAAAGGCTGGATTTGCTATGGATCCCCCCAATTCTGGGTGCTTTCCTGTCTCTGGACCTCACTGGGAGGACTGAGTGTCAGGTCTCAAGTATGATTCTGTGTTTTCCAGGCCCTGGAAGAAGAGACACATTCTGTGACAATGAATTGGTATGTTCCATGCTAGAGGTACAACTAGGTCTTTTTTCTTTACGGTGCTGGGGATAGAATCCAGGACCTTGTGCATACCAGGAAACACTCTACCAGGCCCAACTAGATCTTCCTTAGTAGGGACAGTGGACAGGTATAACCTGACTCTGGAGAGGGCATCTAGTGGCTGCACTATGATAATTAAAAATTGTATCTGACAGCAACCAACTAAATGTAGGGATCATATGTGATATCACCTGTGCAGGGGCAGCCTGAGATCATGTGCAATAAGGAACACATACTCACCCATGTGGCATTGCTGCCAAAAATGTCTAATTTGTATCAAAGAATAATCTAGAATATGGGACATTTAAAAAGAGCCAGGTGTGATGATGCATGCCTGTGGTGCCAGCTAGTTAGGAGGGCAAGAGGGGAGGATCTCTTGAGTCCAGGAATTGGAGACCAACATAGTGAGATCCCACCTCAAAAACAACAACAACAAAAAATAGAGCTGGGCTCGGTGGCATACAGCAGTAATCCCAGCTACACGGGAGGGTGAGGCAGAAGGATTACAAGTCTGAAGCCTGAAGTCAGCAATTCAGCAAGATTCTGTCTCAAAAAATAAAAAGGACTGGAAATGTACCTCATTGTTGACCTAGGTACCACAACAAACAAATAAATGTTTAAAAATAAAAATAATACTTGGCTTGATTAATATTATGGAAAATGTTGTTGTTGTTGTTGTTGTTGTTTTTAAAGGGCAGGGGATATTGTTTCAGATTAAAGGGGAAATACAACTGAATCTTGATTTGGGGTAGAAGAGGTAGGTTGAAAAGATATTTTCTGACAACTGGAGAAATTTGAGAATGGGGTGGATAAGGAATGATGTAAGAGTTAATGTGGGGGAGGGGGCTGGGGTTGTGGCTCAGTGGTAGAGCGCTTCCCTAGCACACCTAAGGTACTGAGTTCTATTCTCAGCACCACATAAAAATACATAAATAAAATAAAGGCATTGTGTTCATCTAAAACTAAAAATATTTTTAAAAAAGAGTTAATGTCCATTTCCTTAGGTGTGATAACAGTTCTTATACAAATATCCTTCTTCTTGGGAGATGCCTGTTGAGGTATTAGGAATGAAGTATGACATGGCTGAAAACTTCTCTCAAATAGTTCAGAAATGTACACACACACACATACACACACACACACACACACATACCACACACACACATACTAAGGGGAAAATATTTATGGAGAGAGAGGTTCAGGACATGGCAATATATTAACTAATAAACCTAGACAAAGGGATCTCTAATGCCTCCAACATTTCTAGAGGTTCAAAAGTTTTCACATACACCAGAAAAACAAAATCTACAAACACACATGAAAAACATCCTAAAATATACTACTCTGTGTCAACTACTTTTCAGGCATGATCTCTGAGTAGTCATTTCAAACAAGGTTAAGAAGTAGAATAATAGAGGCTGGGGTTGTGGCTCAGTGGTAAAGCACTTATCTGGCAGGTAAGAGGCCTTTGGTTTTGATCCTCAGCACCGCATAAAAACAAATAAATAAAGGTATTGTGTCCATCTACAACTAAAAATATTAAATTTTTTAAAAAGTAGAATAATAGAGCCGGGCATTGACAAATACATCTGTCTCTCTCTCCATTATTTATCTATCCCCGATAGAAATGTATGCCTCATGAGAACAGGGACCACATCACCAGCACTTAAATGCCACCTGGCACCCATTCACAGGTGAGAGGCATTTGTTGAATGAATGAGCCTCTCCCTAGGCCTGACTCTACTGCTCTCAGAATGGGTTCCAGACCTGAGAGGGGAAAAAGAGGTGCAGCTGTGTTTTACCTTTTCCTTCTCATTATGATTTGGGCCTGGAATGTTCCCCAAAGTCTCATGTGTTGAAGGCTTGGTCCCTAGAGCAGCAGTGTGCTGAGGTGGGGCCTTCGAGAAGGTGACTGGATCTTGAGGCCTCTAACCCCATCAGGAGGTTAATCCATTGTTAGATTCATAATTTGATGTCATTACTGAGAGATGGTAGAAATTTGGGGAGGGGTCTACTTGGAGGAAGGATGTCACTAGGACAAGATCTGGAGGGGTCTAGTTTATTTCTTTTTCTTTCTTTCTTTTTTTTTTTAGCTCCTAGGGATTAAACCCAGGAGCTGACCTACCTTTCCCACCCCTTTAATTTTTATTTTGAGAAAGGGTCTCACTAAGTTGCTGAGTCTGTACTTGAACTTGTGAACCTCCTGTGTTAGCCTCCAGAGTAGTTAAGCTTACAGGTATGTGCCACCATCCTGGATGGAAGGATATATTTGTATTTGTCCCCAGTCCCATTCTCTCTCTCTCTTTCTGTGTGTGTGTGCGTGTGTGTGTGCTTTCTGGCTGTCATGAGTTGAGCAGCTTTCCTCTGCCATCTTTACAGGCATATAAATAAAGGATTCAGCGGACCATGCACTGAAATCTCTGAAACCCTCAGCCAAAATAGACCTTTCCTTCTTTCAATTGCTTTTCTCAGGTATTTGGTCACAGTGATGAAAAGTTGACCAACATGCTCTATAACATGACCACAAGTGTGTTTCCCCACATTAGTTCATCTGACAACTACTAAGCACCTACAACATGCCAGGCTTTGTATTAGGCATTAGGAACACAGCTGTGATCCAAACAAGATAAAACCCCTACTTTGGGTGGGGGGGTGTAGTCAGTGGTAGAGACCTGACCCAACAGGTGTAAGGCCCTGGGTTCCATCCCAGTACCACAAACAAAAACTCCTCTGCTGTCAAAAGCTGACATTCCAGTGAGGGAGACACATACTCAATAAGATAAAGAAAGCATCTATCTTCTATGTGTGGTAAGTTTAAGTCCCATCTCCTTGATTTAGGTCAGCCCTCATAACTTGTGTGTCACCCACCCTCTGGCCCTGGGTACTGAGGATTGAACCTAGGGTCTTGGGCATGCTGAGCAAGTGCAATAACTTACTTCTAATCAACAACATGCATTGGAAGTAGCACTAAAGGGGCTTTTGATACCAGGCCATAAAGATGATATAGCTTCCATAAGGCCCCTCCAGAGACTCTCACCTTGGGGACCCAGCTACCATGGTGTGAGGAAGCCCTGGCCACATGGGGAGGCCACCTGAACATATCCAGCTGATGTCTGCATCAACCAGCAGACATATCTATGAGGAAGCCTTCCACTTGACACTAAGCCCAGCCACCATATGACCACAGCACTCCTTGAGACTCCCAAGAAAGAGCCACCCATTGAGCCTAGTTACCTCCCAGTACTGGGTTACAGTCACCATAAACAATAGTAGTGGTTTCACATTTCTACATTCAGATGTCTTGTTAAGCAGAGATAACAGCATGTCAGGAGATGAAGAAGGGAGATTAAGTAAAGCAGGGAAGACAGGGAAGGGTAGGAAGCATGTTTGCCTTTTTTGTTGTTGTTGTTTTTTGGAGGGGCACCTGGATATGAAATGGAATTTCTTTCTTTCTTCTTCCTTTTTTTTTTTTTTTTTGGAACAATGTGACCTCATATTTCACTAAAGCAATGGAGATAACTATAAGTGTTTTTTTTTTTTTTTTTCTTTTTTTGACACCGGGGATTGAACCCAGGGTTCAATCAAAACTGAGCCACATCCCCAGACCTTTCTTTCTTTTTTTTTGGTACTGGGACTGAACTCAAGGGCATTCAACCACTGAATCATATCCCCAGCTCTTTTTTTTGTATTTTATTTAGAGACAGAGTCTCAGTGAGTTGCTTAGGGCCTTGGTAAATTACTGAGGCTGGCTTTGAACTTGAGATCCTCCTGCCTCAGCCTCCCAAGATACTGGGATACAGACATGAGCCACCAGACCCAGCTGAACTGGCAATTTCATGATGTGCAATTGCCAAGGAAAGCCTTGTAGATCTCTCCAGAGGGCAGATGGGAACAAGCTGGCAGTGACAGGGCTGATGGGTCCCAGCTCCACTCACCTATGTGTGGTGGCATCACGGCCACGTATTTCAGGCCTGATTCCTGCAGCACTTTGTGCATCCGGATGTGGTCATCAGTCACGTCCTGCAGTCGTGGGGGCACCTTGGCTGGGTCCCATAGCAGGAAGGCTGATGGGGAGACACAGGGCAGGGTCAGCCTGTGATGTTTTGACTTGGGGCCAGGACAAAATGCTACAGTGGCTCACTGCAGCCTTACAGTGAGTTGCAAAGGTAGATCTCTTCAGCCGCTTCTCTCTCAAACCCCACCTACGAGCAGTCTGCGGATCACAGTGATTCTAAATCTGACCTCTCCCCACCCCTCCTGGTCCTATCCACTGTGACCTCCCGTTCTTCTCTGGTCTCCTTGTCCCTGACTCCCCATCCCTCCCAGCCAAGGGAGCCTGTGAACACCTGAGTCAGGTCCTGTCCGTGGATCTCACTCAGGGTGAAAGCCAAGTCCTCAACAGGTTCAGCCCAGAGTCCCCAGCTGATCTGGCCCCATCAACTCCCTGACATCACCGCCCAGCATTTCCCTTCCAGTTGGCCTGTGCCAGCCACGCTCCACCCGGCAGCCTTTGCAAAGGCTGGTCCCTCTGCCCCAGTGCGATTCCCTCTCCCTGCTTTTTCTCGCACACTTTGGTTAAAGGTCGCCTCTCAGAGCAACTTTCCCTGAGCAGCCTATTTAAAATTGCAACCCCGCCCTACCGACCACCCCCCTTACTCTGCCTGTTCTTTTCCCCGTGGTGTCCTTCCCAGCTTTCACACCAAAGTCACCCTTGGGCCTAATACACTACCTCCCTCCCTCCCTTGAAAGCTAATTCCACAGACAGGGACTTTGTCATGTTCACTGTCCCATTCCCAGCCCTTAGAAGGGCTGGAACCCTGTAGGTGCTCAGTACATATCTGAAGGCATTCCATAGCCTAGCTGAGGCTCCCATTTATAAAATGCTAACCAAGTCCCAACCCTGCTAAATGCTTGTTTGTTGCTTTGTACTGGGGATTAAATCCAGGGCCACTCAACCACGGACCCACATCCTCAGCCCCCTTTTATATTTTATTTAGAGACAGAGTCTTACTAAGTTGCTATGGCTGGCTTTGAACTCATGATCCTCCTGCCTCAGTGCCTCAGCCTCCCGAGCTGATGGGATTACAGGTGTAGGCCAGCCCCAAGCTAAATGCTTTAGGAGCAGTTTGGTAAGATGATCAAGAGCTCGGTTGGGTCTGAGTTGAAGTTCTCGGTCTCCCGCTGGCCAGCTGCCTGTTTCTTCATGTGTAAACTGGGGTGACAGAAGATTGAGTTGGGGCTGGGAACGCTGCTCAGTAGCAGGGTAGGTGCTTAGCATGCACAAAGCCCTGGGTTCCCATTCCAAGGACCAAAAAGAAAAAGTGTTGGAGTTCATGCAAATGATTATGATGAGGTCTGGCACAGAGCAAAACTCAGTCACTGGTCACTGTGATTGTCCCATTGGTTCCTGGACAGCATGAGTCCCTCTTTACAGATGAGGAAACCAAGGGCCTCCCTCTTCATTCAGCATTGAGAACAGCCTCTCCCAAGGAGCAATCACAAGTCCAGTCTGTCTTTTACCCTGGGTTTCTTTCTAATCAGAAACCTCCTTAGAAAACAACTCTCCCCAAACTGTGATGGATTAACTCCAGCTCCTAAGAGGACAAGGGTCTTTCTAATCATGAAACTTGAACCTGGAGGGAATATTTGACTCTAAGATTTAGGGACTAGAAGAGGCCTAGAGTTGATTTACTTGGCTGTGACAACAGTATTGTGTTCTAGAAGACAAAGTCCCTTTCTTAGGAGTTGCTGAAGGGTGGTCATGTAACTCCACACCAAAGAGTTTAGGAAAAGAAAAACAAAAATACTTGTGTACATTTATTTGTACACAGATAAGCCAATTATGATAAATTTTAACAATTTTATTGGCAGTACTAGGGATTGAACCCAGGGCCTCACACAAGCTAGGCAAATATTCTACCACGGAGCCACATCCCCAACCCTTATAACATTTTCTTTTGAGATACGATCTTGCTAAATTGTCCAGGCTAGCCTGGGGACTTTTGATCTTCCTGCTTCAGCCTCCCAAGTTGCTGGGATTGCAGGTGTGCACTACTGTGCCTGGCAATATCAGCAATTTTTGAATCGAGATGGCAGCAATATAAGTATTCATTCTATTATTTTGTATTTTTTTTGTTTGAATTTTTTTATATGCCAGGCATGATGGTAATCATGATGGAACCAATAATCCCAGCTACTCAGTAGGTTGAGGTAGGAATATTGCAAGTTTGAGGCCATCTTGTGCAATTTGGTGAGATCCTGCCTTAAAGTAAAATAAAATAAAGGGCGGAAGATGTAGCTCAGTAGAGCCTTTGACTAGCATGTGAGAAGCCCTGGGCTTAATCCTCAGTACCAAAAATAGAAATTTATAATAATAATAAATATGGAAGACAGATGTGGTGGCATGGGCTTGTAGTACCAGCTATTTGGGAGGCTGAGGCTGGAAGGTCACTTGAGCCCAGGAGTTCGAGACTGGTCTGGGCAACATCATGTGACCTCATCTCAAGTTGCCTGTGCATGTGGGCACGGGGACACACAAACACAAAGAAAAGGGGGAGGGGGAGAGAGAGAGAGAGAGAGAGAGGGAGAGAAATCAAGAGCAGACCATTATAAAATCACAGGTCTGGGATTATTTCTCCATTTCAAAGCTTGAAGGAAAAAAAGCCATAAATGATTTTGCCTCCTGCCCTCCCGCTGGGCATGGCTGCCAGGGCTTTGGGCTTGCTGCCCCTGCTGCCTGGAGAACCATTACCCCCACCACACAGCCTGCCCTTGCACCACGTCCCTTCCCAGGAGGCCATCTGTGGGATGAAACACAGGTGAGTGGGGTGGACTGTGGAGACAGGAGCCAAGTGCCTCTCCCTGCTCTGCCAGCCACAGATGTGTGAACTTAGGTGATCCAGCCAGATGGCCTTCCTGTGCCATGGCTCCTGAGCTATGCCAGGGAGACGATAATAACAATAGCTGGCATCTCCTAAGCACCTACTATGTGCCACTTTGTGTATAAGCACCCAAAGGGGTTTTGCAAAGATTAAGTGGCTTTATCTCTTAAGCATCTAGCATCCAGTAAGTGCTCAATAAATACTGCTAGCATTCATTGCTCTTTATTTATTTATTTTTTGTGTGCTGGAGATTGAACTCAGGGGTGCTTTATCATGGAGCTACATCCCCAGCCCTTTGTATTTTGAGACAGGGTCTCCCTAAGTTGCTGAGGCTGGCCTTGTACTTGTGATTCTCTTCCTGTCTCAGCATTAATTGTTCTTGTTATGCACCCTGTAACCTTTTTTTTATTACTCAGGACAACTATTATTGTTGTTGTTGTTGTTATTATTATTACTATTTTGTGGTGCTGGGGACAGAACCCAGGCCTTACGCATGCTAGGCAAGGACTCAGCCAAATCCCCAACCCCTTAGGACAACTATTCGTTTAAAGTCCATCTCTCCATAACTGGGAGCCCAGGGGCAGAGAGCCGGTGTGCAGCCATCCTCTGCCATTCTGCAAGGCTCCCCCCGACCTTTCCTGGGCCATCTCCTTGGGCTCCCATAGTTCCCTCAGGCTTCTCTTGGTCTGGCCCTGACCTTATGCCTGTTCCTTCTCCCTCCCGCCCTGTTCCTCTGGGATGTCAGTGTGACCATGACAGTTTACCACCTCTCTCCCATCTGGACTGCAACGTCCAGGACTGTGTGGGTCACCACTGTGTCCACAGCATCATTCAGCAAGGTCAAGGCAACAGCATGGCAACTTAGAAGAGCTTCAATGTCACCTTTCAGAGGGCCCGTCCCGTCCCCGCCCTCTAGTTCAGCCCCCCCTCTGTGACCCCACCACCCACCCGAGGTGCAGGCCACGACCTTGTCCACTCCATGAGCCTTCATGGCCGCCACAATGTTCCGGGCGCCCTCGGACATCACTGTAGTGGGACCTTAGAGGGGACAGAGAGTGGCTGTCACTGGTGGGCGGCGGCGGCGGTGGTGGCAGAGGTGGCAGGGGTGGGGCTGGGGGTGGGGGTGGTGCCGGGGGTCGAGGTACAGGAAGGGGCCGTGGACAGAGGGGGGGCTCAGTACTGAGATCAGTGCCGGTGCCCAGCAGCACGATGACAGCATCCTGCCCGGCTACGGTCTTGTCCACGTCAGCTGCCTGACGAACGTCACCAACTATCACATGGTTTGGCTGGGGCCCCTCCGAGGGCAGTCTGGAGGTGTCCCGAACCAGCACAGTCACCTCATAACCTGTGGGCAAAGGGAGCAGAGAGGCAGGTCAGTGGGCTTGTGGGCTGGCACTCGGGCTCCAGGCGCTGGGCCCTGGAGGGTGCCATGAGCCCCCAAGTTCATCCCCCAGGTCCCCTGTTCTGGGGCAGTGATCTTAATCATTTTTGCTGTTCATCCACAGTTGATGTCCAGCTAGTTGTGGGCGATGCCTTCATGCCCACATACAAACAGTCTTCACCAGAGGCTCCCCGCACCCCACACCCACCACCCTCCAGCACAGAAGGGCATGCTCTATGCTGCCCCCAAAGTGACCAGTGTTGAGACTGGACCCAGACCCTGGCCTCACTTGTGGAGGCCCAGCCTTCCTTTAGTGCTCACTAATGTACATGTCTGAAGACACGAACGGTGTGAACATACTTTTTACACAACCAGACATATGAAAAATTGTGCTCTATGTGTGTAATGTGATCTGTGATGCATTCTGTCATATATAACACATGAGAATTAAACAAAGAATTCAAATCAGTACTGTACGTGATCAAAACAAGACAATTCTACAGGACTGTAATGGATCTTATCATTTGGAAAAAATTCCAAACATTATTAAATCCTATTTTAAGGGTCGTAATAAACATATTATTGATCAATGTAAAAAAAAATTTGAATATCTCCTTAGTATGTCCCCTCCCAAAAGAATTTTGGCTAACTCTGTCTCCCTAGACCCCAACACACACACACACACACACACACACACACACACACACACACTTTTTAAAGTTCATAATTAACATATTTCTTCCTTTGTTTTAAATAGTGGCAAAGGAACTTCATGTTTTGGTGTATTGTTATGGTTATATTTTAAAAATAAAATGATTAGTCATGATCTCTAAAAGTTTGTGACCTCTCCAGTTCATGTTGGAGGTAAGGTTTTGGGGAGGCAATTGGGTTTAGATGAGGCCAGGAGGGCAGGGTCCCCACGATGGGCTTACTGTTCTTTTTTTTTTTTTTTCATTTGGTACTAGGAATTGAACCCAGTGGCACTGAACCACTGAGCCACACCCCCATCCCTTTTTCATATTTTATTTTGCAACAGAGTCTTGCTAAGTTGCTGAGGCTGGCTTTGAACTCAAAATCCTCTGCCTAGAGAGCCACTGGGATTGTCATGATTGCTCTTATAAAAGGATAGATTCATAATTTGATGGCATTATTGGGAGGTGGTAGAAACTGGGGGAGATGGGGCCTAGCTGAAGGGAGTGGGTCTTGGGGCACACCCTTCAGGACTAGATCTTGTCCCAGGCCCCTTCCTTTGGATTAGACAATTGTTTCTTCTTCTTTTTAATATTTTATTTTTTTTTAGTTGTAGTTGGACACAATACCTTTATTTTTTAAATTTTATGTTTATGTGGTGCCGAGGATCGAACCCAGGGCCCCACTCGTTCTAGGAGAGTGCTCTTCTGCTGAGCCACAGCCCCAGCCCCTAGACATTTGTTCCTTTTTTCCCTCCCTCCTTCCTTCCCTCCCCTTCTCTCTTCTCTCTTTGAGACAAGGTCTTACTAAGCTGTCCATGCTAGCTCCAAACTCCTGGGTTCAAGCGATCCACCAGCCCCAGTCTCTTGAGTAGCTGGGATTACAAGCACACACCACCACATCAAAAACACAACCAACAAATGCAAAACCAGATAAACTGCAAATCATCAAAATTAAAACCTTTTATCCCTCAAAAGAAACCATCAAGGGCTGGGACTGGGGCTCAGCGGTAGCACACTTGCCTGGCATGTGTGAGGCACTGGGTTCGATTCTCAGCACCACATATAAATAAATAAAATAAAGATCTATCAACAAACAAGAAAAAAATTTTAAAAAGTAAGAAAGTAAAAATACAACCTGCAGAATGGGAGAAAAATTTTGTAAGCCTATCTGATAAGGGACTTGCATTTATATAAAAGGACTTTAATAACACAATGCTAAACATAAATGACCCAACTAAAACTATACACAACATCCTTTGAATAAGATGCCCAAATGGCCAAGAAGCCCATGAAAATAGGTTCAATCCCATTAGCCATCATGGAATGCAAATAATCAGAGCCACAATGAGATATCACTTCACAGCACTTGCATGATGAGAATATAGAGATAAACGCCCACGATCCTGCGAGGAAATGAACCTCAAGCGCTGCCGATGGCCACACAGAAGGGTGCAGCTGCTTTGGCAATCTGCCTGGCAGGTCTCCAAAAGATAAAACCCAGCGGTACCAAATGACCCAGCATTCTCAGATGTATGCCCAGGAGACACGAAAACATGCTTTTCACACAAAAACTTGCACATGTATGTTTATAGTAGCATTATTCCTAACATCTATCAACTGCTTAATGGATGAATGCAGTATCATTGGGCAACATAAATGAATGATATGCTTCAACTTAGATGCATCTTGAGAAAAAAAAATTTTTTTTTTTTCCCCCAAGTGAGAGAAGACAGTCACAAAGAACCAACATCATGGGGCTGGGGTTGTGGCTTAGTGGTAGAGCTCTTGCCTAGCATGAGTGAGGCACTGGGTTCGATTCTCAGCACTGCATATAAATAAATGAATAAAATAAAGGTTCATCAATATCCAAAATAAAACATTAAAAAAAGAACCAATATTATATGATTACAATAATATTAAATGTCTAGAACAGCAAATTCATAAAAACAGAAGCAGGGAAGTGGTTCCCTAGGGCTGGGAGAGGGGTTGGGCTGGAAAATAGGGTTTATTTTGGGGATGACAAAAATGTTCTTTTTTTTTTTGGGTACTGGGGATTGTAGTAGAGGCTGGGGTTATGACTCACTGGGTTCAAGCCTCAGCACCACATAAAAATAAATAAATAAAAGTTTGTGTCCATCTATAGCTAAAAAAATTTTTTAAAAATATATTTTTAGTACTAAATGGACACAATATCTTTATTTTATTTTATTTATTTATTTTTATGTGGTGCTGAGTATGGAACCCAGTGCCTCACATGTACTAGGCAAGCACTCTGCCACTGAGTCACAATCCCTGTCCCCTTTTATTTTTTTATTTTGAGACAGGGTCTTGCTAAGTTGCTTAGGGCCTTGTTAAGTTACTGAGGCTGGCTTTGAAATTTCGATCCTCCCGCCTGAGCCTCCTGAGACACTGGGATTATAGGAGTGCACCATCGTGCCCAGTGTCAAAATGTTCTAAACGGATTATGAGAATACTTGCGCAACTCTGAATATGCTGAGAACCACGGAATGGTATATTTTAAAGGGGTGGATTATATAGTGTGTGAATTATAGCTCTATAGTGCTGTTAAACATATAAAAGTGCCGGGTGCAGTGGCACACGCCTGTAATCCCAGCCATTTGGGAGGCTGAGGCAGGAGGATCACAAGTTCAAAGCCAGCCTGCAATTTAGCAAGGCCTTAAACAACTTCGTGAGGGCTGGGGATACAGCTCAGTTGGTAGAGTGCTTGCCTCACATCTCACATGCACAAGGCCCTGGGTTCAATCCCCAGCACCACCACCAAAAAAAAAAAAAATGCTTAGTAAGATCCTGTCTCAAAACAAAAATAAAGGCCGGGAATGCAGAGCTCAGTGGTTAAGCACCCCTGGGTTCAATCTCTGGTACCTCAAAACTAAAACAAACAAAAAAGCCTACAAAAGCAAAACCAAGACAAAATTAACCAAAAGTTTAGCACAGAACACTGAAACACGCATCATCTGATTGTTTGCTGTCAGGCCTTTTGATCATCCCACAGTTTTACCCCTTGGCCTGGACCAGCCCTGAGTCTTGTTCCTGGCCCTTTCCAGGGTCTTCTTCAGGCTCCTGAGCCCTGGCCTGCTCCCCCCAACCATATTCCAGCCATCTCAAAGAGCCTCTGCTCAGAGGCTTCCCACAACCCGACCTGAAGCCCACCACAGAGACTTGTGATGGCCTCAGGGCTCTCAGGATCCGCCCTTTCCTCCTCTCCAGGGAACCACTGCATTTCTTTCAGTTCCTCCAACACAACCTGCTGCTCCCCCACCCCCACCCCACCTCCTGGCTTTGCACACACCATCCCTCTGCTGGGACACCCTTCACCCCCTTTCCCCAGGTCCCCCAGCCACTGGTGCTTCCTCTGCCATGGCTCCCCCTCTGCTGACCTGCCGTAAACCAAGGGCCCTGGGAGTCCACTGCCACCGCCCTGACCTTCTACACACAGGAAAACTCAGGCTTTATCATCTCAGGGACCCAGGTTCAAACTCTGGCCCTACCGCTTTCTGGCTG